GGAGGATGACAAAGTTGATCCATCTCAGAAATTTTCCCTGTGAGGATAGACTGAGGGCCCTGAATCTGCACTCTCTAGAAGGTGTAGAATTAGGGGGGATATGATTGGGGTGTATAAATGGATAGCAGGAATTAATAAAGGGGATATAAATAGCATGCTAAAAATATCTAAAGTAGACAGGACTCGCAGGAATGGCTTTAAATTGGAACAGTTCAGATTCAGGAACGATATAGGAAAGCACTGGTTTGGTAATAGAGTTGTGGATGAGTGGAAAAAACTCCCGAGTACCGTCATAGACGCTAAGACATTGTGTAGTTTTAAAAATAGGTTGGATAAATACATTAGTGGGTGTGGGTGGGTGTGAGTTGGACCTGACTAACTTGTGCTTCTAGATCGGATGCAGTGCTCCTCCCTTAAGTGACGTGTCTGACCTCACTAGGACAAGCCATTGGCTTAAGCTGGTGGGAGAATTGGACCTGCCTCGCATAGGCCCGTAGGCCTGTTGTTGCAGTGTTCTTTCTTTCTTATGTTCTTATGTGTCATGCTTACTATTCATCTGAACATTAAGTATGATATACATACTAACAAAATCTTTAAAAAACCTTGCAAAACTTGATAGATCTTCAAACATTAAGTGCTAATGATGCATGATCATGGTAGTGTGATTATCATGATTCTATGATTATAAATCTATAGTGGAGGAGAGGAGGGGGGAGGGATTGTCCTAGGAAAGGATGGAGGGAGGGACTAAAAGAGGTTTTGTGTGCAAGGGGCTTAGACATACAGCAAGCATGTGTGTATGTGTTAGATAGGAGTGAGAAGAGACAAATGTTTTTGGGGACCTCACGAGCTGTTGGAGTGTGGGCAGGGTAATATAAATAACAAAAAAAGGCACAATACCGTGACTGGAACGATACACAAATAACCCGCACATAGAAGAGAGGAATTTACTACGATATTTTAGTCCGACTTGGACCATTTGCAAAGTCACAATACGAAAAGGAGAGCAGAAAGGGTATATATAGACAGGAGGTGGTGGTGGTAGTAGTAGTGGTGGTGGAGGTAGAAGGAAGTAGTTGTGAGGAAGGTAGTAAGGAAGAAGAGGAGGAGCCAGTCAAATACTAAGAAAGAGGAACACTGCAAGGGAGCTAGGTGCCCACAGAGGGTAAGAGCAAGAACACAGAGGGGGGGAAAAAGTACATAAATAATAAAGGAAGAAATACATGAGGCAGAAGAAAGACAACCCAAAGGAAAAAAAGGAACGGGGAAGAGGGAGAAGAAGAAAAAGGAGGAATCAGGTTAAGTCACGGGTGTTCTGAAGTTTGAAGCATTTTACAATGTAGTGGGATAGAAAGGCATCTACAGGGTAATATACTGTGAATGGGTTCAGGGAAACCAGTTAGCCACACTTGAGTCCTGGAGGTGGGAAGTACAGGGCTTGCACTTTAAAGGAGGGGTTTGGGATATTTACGCACCTCTGCAAAGACATTGATTATGTGTGAATGATGGTGAAGAGGTTTTCTTTTTTGGGGGGGGGTTACCCTGCCTCAGTGGGAGACAGCCAGATTGTTGAAAAAAAAAAAATTATATTCACAGGATATCACTAAACCCGTAGGGACCATGTAGTATCTCTGAAATGGGATTTGGTCAGATTTGATTCCAGGTAGGTACTGTATATATTGCAAACATCTCAACTATCTTGAATGACTAATTATTTACATACAGATGTCCAAAATTCCCAGAACTCTCCTTTGTGTAATAACTTAATACACTGCCCAAATGTTAGGATGATACATATACAGTGGTCCCTCGTTTTTCGTAATTAATCCGTTCCTGGAGGAGCTACTATAAACGAAATTTACGATTTGCAAATCAATTTTTCCCATAAGAAATAATGTAAATACAATTAATCCGTTCCTGACACCCAGAAGTATTAAAACAAAAAATTTTTTTACATGAAATATACATGTAGTACATTAACAATACAATGGGAAATGATGAATGAAACATTAACAGCATAACACTTACCTTTATTGGAGATTATTCTTAGTGTATGGGAGACTGGAGGAGGAGAGAGAGTGGATTGTTTATAGTTTGGAAGGGGAATCCCCTTCCAGTAACACCTCAGGTACCATTTGCTTTTCTGGGGTTGCTTGTCTTCTCTGTTTCTTAATGCCACTAGGACCACCTTGAGAGTCACTGGAGTCCTATCTCGCAAAATAACTGTGGAGAGAGCTCTGTTTCTGGCGTCTCTTTAACACTTTCCTAAAATGGCCCAAGACTTTGTCACTGTACATGTTGCCAACATGGCTTGCAACAACCTTGTTAGGGTGATGTTTCTCCATAAAGCTTTCCATCTTACCCCACATAGTAAAAATCTCTTTAATTTCTTAAGAGGGCACCTTCTTCCATCTCTCTTCCTCCTCTGCAGCAAGATTCTGAGCTGCGATCTGTTGCTCTTCCTGCTGAAGCTCTTGCAGCTCCTCAGTGGTGAGCTCATCGTTGTGGTCTTCCACCAATTCTTCCACATCCTCCAAACTCACATCCAACCTCATGGAACTCCCCAGTGCCACAATTGATTTTACAACAGACATAGGCTTATCAGGGTCAGTCCCAAACCCTTCAAAATCCCTCTTGTCAACACAGTCTGGCCACAATTTTCTCCAGGCAGAGTTCAAAGTCCTGGTAGTCACTCCCTCCCATGCCATACCTATAAGGGTTATGCAATGGAGGATGCTGAAGTGTTCTCTCCAAAATTCCCTTAGGGTCAAGTGAGTGTCTGTGGTCACAGTCAAGCACCTGTGAAACATTGCTTTTGTGTAGTTTTTTTTAAAGTTTGCAATAACCTGCTGGTTCATGGGCTGCAGGAGAGGAGTGGTATTCGGGGGCAAGAACTTTACTGTGATGAACCAAAACTCCTCGAAAATTAGGTCATCCAAGTTTGGAGGATGAGCAGGTGCATTGTCCATTACTAGCAGGCACTTGAGATCCAATTTCTTTTCCAGGAGATACTCCTTCACACTAGGGCCAAACACTTCATTGAACCACTCGACGAAAATTTCCCTCGTGACCCATGCCTTACTATTAGATTTCCAAAACACACACAATTTACTCTTCATAACATTGTTTTTCCTGAACACACTGGGATTTTCAGAATGGTACACTAGTAATGGCTTTACTTTGAAATCCCCACTAGCATTAGCACAGAACATTAGCGTCAGCCTGTCTTTCATAGGCTTGTGTCCTGGCATTGCCTTTTCCTCTTGTGTAATGAAGGTCCTCTTTGGCATTTTCTTCCAAAAGAGGCCTGTTTCGTCACAATTGAACAATTGTTCAGGTTTCAGTCCTTCAGCCTCTATGTACTCCTGGAATTCATGCACGTATTTTTCATCCGCCTTGTGGTCCGAACTGGCAGCCTCACCATGCCTTACCACACTGTGTATGCCAGTACCGTTCTTAAATCTCTCAAACCAGCCTTTGCTGGCCTTAAATTCACTCGCATCACCACTAGTTGCAGGCAATTTCTTTACCAAATTGTCATGCAACTGCCTAGCCTTTTCACAAATAATCGAAGTCATAAGAGTATCTCCTGCTAATTGTTTCTCATTTATCCACACCAATAATAACTTCTCAACCTTTTCGAGTACTGGTGATCTCATTTTTGTCAGCATAGTTACCCCCTTTGCAACAACAGTGTCCTTGATTTCCTTTTTCTTGGCCACTATGGAACATAAGGTTGTGTAGGGTTTCTTATACATCCTGGCCAGTTCGGCCACATTTGTACCACTTTCATATTGTTCAATGATGGTTTCCTTAAATTCAATTGTATTTCTCACCTTCTTTACCACAGGCTTGGCACTATGTGCTTTCTTTGGAGCCATGGTAGCTTATTTAGTACTTGCAAGCACTAAAATAAATGGAGTACTATGAAATATTTTGCTGGAGCACGTGAGGGGACCTTCGCTCACTGGTAAACAATGCCAGACTGGCTGCCGCCACGGCTCACGCCGTGGGTACGCGTCCCGGACGAACTACGATTTGTGAGTCCATGTTTATACGAAAATACCCCTACAATTGGCGAAATTTACGATTGCCGAGAACTACGAAAAGTGAGGGACCACTGTACCTGTGTTGATCTCTGGATCACCCCATGGGATACAGGTTCCAACAGCACCCACAGGAATACATGTCATAGAGCATAGGTTTCCTCACATACTGTACTTCAGAAAACACACAGGTCTCAACACACATCCCGGAACATATACAGCCTCTCCTCACTCTCCTTACTGACGACTTGGATTTATGACGGGCTTTCTGACCAGTATGCATACCTAAATAATGTATATTAGAGCTGATTTCCTCTGGCACTTGTACTATGTCTACAAGGTTGGTACAGTATGTTTTTTTTATTTTTGAATCCATGTAAGCAGTAGTTAATTGATTGTGCTATGTGTAGCACCTACTGTGTGTCATAGAGGAATAACGTATAGATGTGAATTTTTTTTTATTTCTCTCCTTGACAATCGTATTTGCTCTCCTAACTGTCATTTTATGGGAAGCTGCTTTGAGCAATGCAGTATAAAGCAAAACACATTTAAGTTTGGGTAGTAAATCAGTGGGAGAATTGGCACTAAATGTTCCAACATAATGCAAGTGAGTTTTTTTGTTTTTCCTCGACACATCAGTGTATTTCACCGAGGCAGGGTGACCTAAAAAGAAAAATGAAAATTTTTCACGATCTAAAAAGTGAAACGTAAGTTTTTTTTTTTTTAGTTTATGAAAGTTTTTCTTCTTAAATTTAGTAATTTATACAGGAGAATGGGTTATATTATTGAGTAATATACAATAAATATCTGAATAGCAAAAATTTATGAATGCTTTTTTAGCAGCACTGGCCACTCATTCACAGTTCTCTTGAAAGTGCAATGTATGTGTGATACTGTACCCAGGAACACAAAAGTGTTAACTAAAACTGCATGTGGATATTCCTGTCTTTGTAGAAACAAATGATGATGCAGCTGAGGAAGAAAAGGAAAGAAAAAAATATGAAAAGAAAAAGCAAAAGGAGGAGGCATTGAAACAGAAGGAAGAAAGTTCAAATGACACAGAAGAGGAGGTAAGCATGAATTTTGTAAGCATCTCTTGGAGTAGTAAATTTTTAATAAACATAACTGATATGTGTTGCATTTTCTCTTGTATCCCTCACTCCATTATATAATTGTAATGTATAGATTTGGGCCTAATCCCACATATATCTTGCATGTATATTTTATCACATGCCCAGAGAGTACATTTTAGGTATTTTGAGGCATTCCTAGTAGTTTAAATAATCTCTACCTTTTCCAGCTCTGATTACTTTCCTGCCTCAAACACAGCCTACAATACATGTACTAAGGCGTTGGAGATAGAGGGTGGGATTAAATTATGGGAAAGCAAATACAAAATGGGAGTTGACAGTTACTTTTTGCTGATGGATGATATTGTGCTCTTGGCAGATTCTAAAGAGAAGCTGCAAAGGTTATTGGACGAGTTTGGGAGGGTGTGTTAATGAAGAAAGTTGAAAGTGAGCATAGATAAGAGTAAGGGAGTGAGGGTATCAAATGAGTTAGGTAAAGAAAAATTGGATATCAAATTGGAGGGAGGGAGTATGGAAGAAGTGAATGTGTTCAGATATTTGGGAGTAGACTTGTCAGTGGATGAGTTTATGAAGAATGAAGTAAACCATAGAATTGATGAAGGCAAAATGGTGGGTGGCGCATTGAGGTATGTGTGGAGACAAAGAAAGTTATCCTTGGAGGTGAAGAAGGGAATGTATGAGTATAGTGGTACCAACACACTTGTATGGGTGTGAAGCATGGGTTGTTAATGTTGTAGCGAGGAGGAGGCTAGAGCCAGTGGAGATGTCATGTCTAAGGGCAATGTGTGGTATAAGTTTTGTGCAGAGAATTTGTAGTGTGGAAATTAAGAGGTGGTGTGGAGTTACTTAGTGTATTATTCAGAGGGCTGAGGAGGGGTTGTTAAGGTGGTTTGGTCATTTAGAGAGGATGGAGCAGAATAGGATGATGTATAAATAAGTAGTGGTGGGGAGGAGGGTAGGGGTCATCCTAGGAAAGAATGGAGGGAGGGGGTGAAAGAGATTTCATGTGTAAGGGGCTTTGACATTCAGCATGCATGTGTGAGCATGTTAGATAGGAATGAATGTAGAAGAGTGGTTTTTGGGACTTGACGAGCTGTTGGAGTGTGAGCAGGATAATATTTTGTGAAGAGATTCAGAGGAAAACCGGTTAGCTGGACTTGAGTCCTGGAGGTGTGAAGTTGTACTTCACACTTTCAAGGAGGGGTTTAGGATATTGGGTGTTTAGAGTGACATCTGAACTGTTGTATCTGCATGCCTCTGCAAAGACAGTAATTTTGTGAATGATGGTGATTTGAATATCTTCACCATTAAGATTATTTCTCTTGTTTTCGAAGTTCTTATTATCCATTGCCGTATTTTATTCTAGATGATAGGTCATTTGACTATTATTATTATAGTCTATTCTTTTAAATGTTCCTTTCATTCTATAATGTTTTGTATCTAGTTCCTCTTTTGAGTTCATTCTTCCTATATCTGAGCTATTGGAACTTGTCACAAATGAACATAATGATATTTTCTATTTCACACTGGAATTTTTTATTGATATTTACTTGCAAATTTCCCTCGTCTACTAAGACTACTTTCGTGCTTATTTTGGTATTGTTTACAGGGATGATTCAAAGCTATGGCTAGTGGTTTTATTTATGGTTGCTGTGAGGCAAGAAACAGTAAAGATGCCTGGATGGTGTCATGGAGTACTAAAATTTTTTCTTGCTAACTTTAGATTTTGCTTTATTCACTACTGTGCAACTGTCCTGTTCATTAGAGAACTGAGTATTCATTTTCCTACTTTTCCTCTTTTTTTTCCTCTTATAATCTTTCACTACTTGATTACGCTGTGTTACGCTGGGTGTTTGTGGGAAACAATCAGGCTGCAGCGTTAGGGTTAAAAACAGCAGTTATTACCGGGATACCTCAGGGATATGTTTAAAAGACAATATTCAAAATAAAGTTGCTAGTAATGGCCAATCAATTGATCAACAAAGAAAGAAAGATAGTAGAGGGCAACGAGTGACTAGCTCCCTTAAGGTTTGTTGTACAAATAGTAGGAGTCTAAGAAATAAGATAGATGAGCTAAGATTACTTACAAGTGCAGGTAATATAGATATTATTGGTATAACAGAGACCTGGTTCAACCTGAAAGATAGAGAAATGCCTTCTGAATGCAACATACAGGATTATAAACTATTCCACACTGACAGGGTCCACAGGAAGGGTGGTGGAGGGGCGATGTATGTCAGAGAAAATTTAAATTGCTGTCTTAGACACGATATAAGATTAGAAACATCGAACACAGAGTCTGTTTGGCTACAGTTCCTCTAGGGACGTGACAAATTAATTTTGGGTGTGATTTATAGGCCGCCAAACCTTGATAGGGAGTGCAGTAAGCTGTTATGAGACAAAATTCATAAGGCATCTAGATATGATAATGTTGTGATAATGGGAGATTTTAACTTTAGACAAATTGATTGGAACAATATGACAGGAAATCTTGAGTCTAGTGACTTTCTTGATACTGTTCAGGATTGCTTTTTAGAACAGTCAAGTGACAGAACCAACTAGAGGAAACAATCTGCTTGACTTGGTTCTTGCCATCAAAGAGTCACAAATTAATAATCTTGAGGTTAATGACGAGCTTGGGGAAAGTGATCACAAATCACTTAGTTTCAATATATCATGGAATTACCCAGATAACTGCAATCAAATCTGTCCCAGATTTTCGCATGGCCGACTTCATGGGACTGAAAAATTACGTGGGTGGGCTAAATTGGGATGTCCTGACTATGGGTCAGATAGGTGATTTTGGTTGCCAATATGACGTTTTTCAGAGCATAGTTCTAGCTGCCCAGACAACTTCTGTTCCGAGTAGGGAAATTACATCTAACAAAAATGGGGCTTGGACTTCCAGCAAGCGTGCGTGAGTGTGTTAGATAGGAGTGAATGGAGACGAATGGTACTTGGGACCTGACGATCTGTTGGAGTGTGAGCAGGGTAATATTTAGTGAAGGGATTCAGGGAAACCGGTTATTTTCATATAGTCGGACTTGAGTCCTGGAAATGGGAAGTACAATGCCTGCACTTTAAAGGAGGGGTTTGGGATATTGGCAGTTTGGAGGGATATGTTGTGTATCTTTATATGTGTATGCTTCTAGACTGTTGTTTTCTGAGCACCTCTGCAAAAACAGTGATAATGTGCGAGTGTGGTGAAAGTGTTGAATGATGATGAAAGTATTTTCTTTTTGAGGATTTTCTTTCTTTTTTTGGGTCACCCTGCCTCGGTGGGAGACGGCCGACTTGTTGAAAAAAAAAAAAATGATCCCAAATAGATGAACAATAGAGTAAAACATCTCATTGGTCAAAAGAGAGGCATATATAGGCGTATCAAAAGAGGGGATGGGCAGTTAAGAAATCAATATATTCAGTTAGAGAGAGAAATAAAGAAAGGAATAAGAAAAACAAAAAGGGATTATGACGCTAAGGTCGCAAGGGATTCAAAGACTAACCCAAAAGGGTTCTTTCATGTATACAGAAGTAGGATTAGGGACAAGATTGGCCCACTTAAGAGTAACTCTGGTCAGATCACTGACAGTGATAAGGATATGTGTGAAATTCTCAATACCTATTTCCTCTGTTTTCACCCAGGAAAATACTAGTGATATTCCTGAAATAATAGATTATGTAGAACAGGATAATAAACTATGTACGATTGCGGTAACTAGTGACATGGTCCTCAGACAAATAGAGAAACTAAAACCTAACAAATCCCCAGGCCCTGATGAACTGTTTGCAAGGGTGTTAAAGGAATGTAAAGAGGAACTTAGCATACCTTTGGCTAATCTTTTAAACATATCACTATAAACTGGCATAGTGCCTGATAAGTGGAAAATAGCAAATGTAATACCTAGTTACAAGGCAGGTGACAGGTCCTTGGCTTCGAACTATAGACCAATAAGCCTTACCTCCATAGTGGGAAAATTTATGAAATCAGTAATTGCTGAAGCAATTCGTAGCCATCTTGATAGGCACAGATTGATTAATGAATCACAACACAGTTTTACAAAGGGGCATTCCTGTCTTAGGAATTTACTAACTTTTTTCACTAAGGTGTTTGAGGAGGTAGATCATGGTAATGAATATGATCATAAATTAGACAAATGTGCATCTCTTGGGTATCTTCATTGAGGAAACGTTTCACCACACAGTGGCTTCATCAGTCCATACAAAGGAGTTTCTCCTTTGTATGGACTGATGAAGCCACTGTGTGGCAAAACGTTTCCTCAATTAAGATACCCAAGAGTTGTACATGTGTCTAATTTATCAATGTGTCGGTTCTGTGAACCATTCATCTACAGTAATGAATATGATATTGTGTATATGGACTTTAGTAAGGCTTTCGATAGAGTTCCACACCAGAGGCTATTGAGGAAACTTAAGGCACACAGAATAGGAGGAGATATTTTTTCCTGGGTAGAGGTATGGCTGACAAATAGACAGCAGAGAGTTTGCATAAATGGGGAGAAATCAGAATGGGAGCACGTCACAAGCGGTGTTCCTCGGGGGTCAGTGTTGGGCCCATTGTTGTTCACAATTTACATAAACGACATAGGTGAGGGAATAAATAGCGACATAAGTAAATTTGCTGATGACACCAAAATAAGCCATCCAATTCATTCTAATGAGGACACTAGAGCACTCCAGGATGATTTGAATAGACTGATGCAATGGTCGGAGAAGTGGCAGTGGCAGTTTAATATTGACAAATGCAAAGTTCTAAATGTTGGACATTAAAATAACCATGCCACACATACAAACTAAATAATGTAGATCTTAATACTAGCGATTGCAAAAATGATTTAGGAGTTCTGGTTAGCAGTAATCTAAAACCAAGACAACAGTGCATTAGTGTTCACAATAAAACTAACAGAATTCTTAGCTTCATATCTAGGAGTATAAATAATAGAAGTCCTCAGGTTGTTTTGCAACTCTATATATCCTTGGTTAGGCCTCATTTAGACTATGCTGTTCAGTTCTGGTCACTGTATTACAGAATGGATATAAATGCTCTGGAAAACGTACAGAGGAGGATGACAAAGATGATCCCATGTATCAGAAATCTTCCATATGAGGATAGACTGAGGGCCCTAAATCTGCACTCTCTCGATAGGCGTAGAATTAGGGGAGATATGATCAAGGTGTATAAATGGAAAACATTAATAAATAAACGGGATGTAAATAGTGTGCTGAAAATTTCCAGCCAAGACAGGACTCGCTGCAATGGTTTCTAGTTGGAAAAATTCAGATTCAGGAATGATATAGGAAAGCACTGGTTTGGTAATAGTCTTGGATGAGTGGAACAAACTCCTGAGTACAGTTATTCAGGCTTAAACGTTGTGTAGTTTTAAAAATAGGTTAGATAAATACATGAGTGGGTGTGGGCAGGTGTGAGTTGGACCTGACTAGCTTGTGCTGCTGGGTCTGGTGCTGTACTCCATCCTTGAGTGGAGGTGACCAGACTGGGTGGGTTATTGGGCTAATCCAGGGGGGGTGGGTCATTGGGCTAATCGGGGTGGGTGGGTCATTGGGCTAATTCAGGGGGGGGGGACATGGACCTGCTCCGCATGGGTCAGTAGGTTTGTTGCAGTGTTCCTTCTTTCTTATATAGTCTGGAGCTCATATCTATGTTTGGGTTTTCTTCTAAAGCTTCCTTAATTTTATCATAATGGTTTAATAGTTGTGACAAGTATGATATTCCTGCTGGAAATCCATGTTGACTGATTGTAAATCATTCTTTTTAATGTGATTTGTAATTGGCATCTCACTATCCTTGTTGCATACCTCAAGAGGAATAACTGAATAATTAACATGTAAATCTCAGTAGAACAAAATTCCGCAGATTTCTGTGTTGAATATCTTGTTCAACACTGGAAAATGCAATAAGATATTGGCAATTCAATTCATTTTTATTTGTCAACTTCCTCATTCCATCATTAATACAGTAATTGTTTCACTTACTCCATTATTTACACTGCTGTTGCACCTACTGAATTTATACAGTAGTTGTTGCACTTACTCCATTACTTGTACATAAGATATTGCACCTACTTCAGTATTTAGAAATGTTCATGTAATTAAATATATGAAGAACAAATTGAATTAATACATTAACCCCTTGACTGTCGCAACCCCAAATCTTGAGGTGTCTCCTAGTGTCACAAAATTTCCTCCCCCCCCCCCCACACCCACACCCACAAAAAAATTATTTTTCTTATGAAATGATAGAGAATCTTTTCCCTATTGTAATGACGCCAAAAGTAAGAAATTTGATGGGAAAACTGACAGAATTATGCTCTTGCAAAGTTAGCGACCTCGGCGAGATTTACAAATCGGCAATTTTGCCCACTTTGAGCCCTATTTTCGGCTAATTCCATTGTTCCAGTCTACCAAACTCATAGCTATTTCTTAGAACTCCATTTTTTCTATCGATTGAGTACAAGAAACTGCCCGTTTGCCGATTTCAACTACTCAATAACTTGGTCAGAAATTGGCAATTTGGCCAATTTCACGAAAATTAAGAAATATGACAATTTCAGTGAACAATGCAGACATTCCTGGCTCTAAAATAACATTTTATTTGTTCATTAGTCACATCTGCAGGCCCCTCTGATATTACTCTTGCTTTCTATTTTGAATTTTTATTCAAACAAAAAATAGAAGATTCACTGTTATGCAGACCACTGCAATATTGTAATAATTGTATAAATAATGTCAACCCATTCATGATTGCATATTAGATTGGCTACAAGGACATTTATTGGAAAAAAAAAAAACATTTGTTTACTTTTGAACATTGGCAAAAATCAAACATTTCCCCTACTTTGAGCTCCATTTCAAGGTTCTTTTCATGGTAAAACCAATCAAAATCACCTCTATTTCTATAATATGTTTTCCATTCTATCAAATGAGACCAAGAAAACGAGAATACAACCATAAATATTATATGAAAATAGACCACAAAGTCGGCATTTTAATTAAAAAAAACGGTCGGAGTTTTTTTTTCTCATGCACTGTGTGCTGCAGGATTTTTTTATATGGTGCACACTGACCACACAGACCCATTCTCTCGCATGTGGGCCTACCAGCTTTCTCCTGCTTGATTTGAAGCCTCTAGAATTTATGAGTATATACATGTATACGTCAAAAACGGTGGCTTGTAAGATGTATATATACAACCAAAACAGTCAAAGGGTTAATGAGTCTTGATAATGTACTTAAATTCATAATAGGTTTCATCTTCTATTTTTCAGTATCTTCCAAAGGAATATAAAAAAGGGTATATGAATCTTAATATATCATCTGATGATGAAGTATGTCCTGAGGATGAAGAGGCTGAATATGAGAGCGATGACGATGATGATGATGACAGTGACTTCGAAGAATCGTAAGTTTTATTGTGAAGTTTCTGTGGCTTTCAAAAAAGTTATGCCTAAATTCTAATATTGCAAGATAAATTTTGAAAGATTTGAGCTTGGTGAAGGGGTTTCAGGATAATGCACATTTATTCCAAAAGGTAAAAATTGTATTGGCAGTAGATGTGGAATTTAATAATTCACACTGCATAAATTTAGCACCTGCAGCTACCTGTGATATGACTTTGAAAATGATAGTATATTTATGTGCCAGAGTCGGGGAGGTACCCAAGATTTGCTATACCAGGTATTGAGAAATATGAAACCCAGTTGAGGCAGGGTTAGTACTTCACCTCTGCCATGATAGACAACACAGTGGACCCCCGCATAATGATCACCTCCGAATGCGACCAATTATGTAAGTGTATTTATGTAAGTGCGTTTGTACGTGTATGTTTGGGGTTCTGAAATGGACTAATCTACTTCACAATATTCCTTATGGGAACAAATTCGGTCAGTACTGGCACCTGAACATACTTCTGGAGTGAAAAAATATCGTTAACCGGGGGTCCACTGTATTTTATTTGTTAGCTTAATCCTTTAAACCTTTGAGGGTCGAGACCCCTGATCCTGAACTCGTTCTCAGGGTCAAAAATTAAAAGAAAAAAAAAGTTATTTTTTCTTATGGAATGATAAAGAATCTTTTCCCAATCGTATTGACACCAAAATTATGAAATTTGATGGAAAACTTACGGAATAATGCTCTTGCGAATTTAGCGGTCTCGACTATATTTACACATTGGTGATTTCGCCCACTTTGAGCCCTATTTTTGGTCAATTCCAATATTCCAGTCAACTAAAATCATAGCTATTTCGCTAGAACTCTATTTGCTCTATCGATTGAGTGCAAGGAACTGCCCATTTACCAATTTCAACTACCCAGTAAAATGGTCAGAAATTGGCAATTTGGCCAATTTCCCTCAAATTTCAAAAGTTGCCAATTTCAGAATAGGGTTCAGAATAAACAAGACAGACATTCCTGACACTAAAATAACATTTTCTCTGTTCATTAGTCACATCTCCAGGCCTCTTTTACATTACTTTTGCTTTCCATTTTGAATTTGTATTCTCACAAAAAATAGAAGATTTACTGTTACGTAGACCACTGCATTATTGTAGAAATAGTATAAATAGTATAAATAATATCAGTGCACTTGTAAAAGAATCTTAGACTCACCAGTTGACGTGTATTGGACGCGTGGTGTGATTTGTTTTCCCTTGAAGATCAACAAAAATCGAACATTTCCGCTAATTTTTGCTCAATTTCAAGGTACTTTTCATGGTGAAACCAATCAAAACCATCTCTATTTCTGTAATATATCTTCCATTCTATCAAATGAGACCAAGAAAACGAGAATACAGCCATAAATGCCACAGGAAAAT